GGGGATATGGGGATATATGTATACATATACCTGATTCACTCTGTTGTACAGCAGAAAATAGCACAACATTGTAAAGCAATTATACTCCAATAAAGATATAAAAAATTAAAAAATAAAAATATGCAATAAAAATACTGGGAAGAAAAACAAAAAAAGTATGACTATAAATATATGAAAAATTGAAATTAATAGTGGAATTTCTTTCCTTCTTTTACCGTGCTGTACTATACAAATTCTACAGAAAGTATGGTAGTTTTCCTATTGGAGAATGGACATACAACAGTCTGCTTATTGGGTCAGTGTATGTTCAGATCAAGATCATACTGGTCCGACTTCCGTGCAGCCAGAGGTGGACATGCAACCCATCAGGTCAATGCGAAGGACAATTTCCAGGTCATACTGAAGTAAGGCAAGTCACTTGCCCTGGGTTTTGGATCTTTCCACTTTCCATGAGCTGGGATGGGGACACAGCTAAGGAGTCAACTCAACCATGAAGCTGATGAGTAAGCATCACGGTGGAAAGAACCTGAGTCCTTGGACGACCTTGGGCTCCGACACAGCTCAACAGCGTGAACTGTGAATGCAGGAGAGAAAAGCGTGTCTGGTTTCAGCCACTGTCATTTGGGGTCTTTGTTATGAAGTCTTAGGGCTATAAACATCCCTAATGTGCTTTCTATATTTTTCTGTGCACACGTATGTTTCTCTATGTTTCTTCAATTAATTTCAATTTAAAATAAACTTACCATTTTTATTAATGCATAGTAGGTCTCTAATTAAAGTGGGAGAATATGTAGTCACTTCTATATTACCTCGCTAAACACGGATCCCAAATCACAACCGATATTAATTAAGGCCGCAGAGCAATGACTCAGAATTTCCAATTGAATAAGTATCAGCTATCAAACCGCTATGCTCCAAACACGTGGGATTCTACTGAGTCTCAGCCTAGAGGCAGAGACTGGAGATTCTGATGGTCTTCAGCATCAAAGTAAATAAACAAAGTCAAGGTGCTACAACAAAGAAAGGAATCTGATCATTTACTCAAAAATAAACACGATGTTTCCTTTTGGCAGTTAGGCTGACCAGGACAGAAGTAGGGCAGGTGATGCAGAGGCTTAAGGGTTTATAATGGAGTTTCGCAGATCAGCGTTTGACGGATGAGGAGGAAGCAGTCCTGGTCCCTCTTGGTCGGGCTGATTTTAATTCCTCATATAGAGTAAATTGGGACCCAGCACTCCTGCCCTTGGTGCCCTGCCCCCTGCTCCCCCCGTGGCCCCCCAGGATAAGGCATGGGGGAGGGAACTGCAGTTCAGAGACTCCTCAGCTGACGGCACTGCTTTGGGATCAGGGAATCGATCCAAGGCTGCCCTGCTCCTCATTTTCACTGAGTCATTTAGATCTTTGTGTTGTACAAATACAGACAGATTTTTGGAAATAAAGATACATCATTAACGTGAAACCAAATGAGCAGGGAGACATAAAAAAGAAATTACAGTGATATGAGAACTGTCTGCAATAATTATACGTTATATGAAAATTACCAGGAATTTTTAACATGACACCTGCATACCCAATCTCAGAACCGACACACCAGCACAGGGACTTCAGTGCTGGCAGAATGACTACAGAAATACAGAGTTTCCTGAAATGGCACAGCAAGAGGGACACTGGAAGCAAGAACCATGTATACATTATGATAAAGTAGAGAATTTGCCAAATTTAATTCATTTCGATGTAAAATTTTCTTTTCAGAAGAGAAACAGAACAAAGACAAAAAAAAAGAAAACAAGGTCAGGACTTCTGGCTACAGTCAAGGGTAGACATGGACAGAAGACAACTATGAAACTGGACAAAATGAACAAAAACAATATGTTTCAGAATTCTGGAAACTGATCAAAGGCATATGATAACATGAGACAGTTACAGCCGACAAACTGCTGAACCAGGTAAGAAGGGGGTGGTCTGCAGCATTCTGGCTTACAACACGCAGCCCTAACAGGTGGGCTAGGCTGCAAAGCTCAGTAGCCCCACTGCCCCTGTTGAAGGGTGCACACACTGTGGACCACCGGGCCATGCCCACACCCAACAACACGCTCAGCATCCCGGCTCTTGCAGAGTCCAGCAAAAGGAAGGGCCAACAGCTCAGGGTCTGGCCTGTGGCCATGTCATGCACGGAGCCCGTGAGGCTGCGTGTACAGCATGAGAGGCCGGAGAGGCCCAAGCCAGCCACAGACTCCGCGTGAGCCCAGAGGCCCTCCGCCTGCCACCCATGTGCACCCTGCAGAGACCAGAGGAAGCAGGAAAGAGAAAACTGAACCAACGGAGAAAACAGCCTGAATTTGGAATGCCCTGCCCCACCCTCATGCAGATCGTGGCAGAGACGGAAGAGAACCCTTGTTGGCCTGAGGTGGTGAAGCACAGGCTCTGCCCGGCAACTGGCCTGTATACAAACAGCGTGACTCTGAAAAACCCAGGCTTTAAAAAATGAAAACAAAACTGAAAAAACCAACTAGGCAGAGGCACCAGGACCTACCCACTGCAGGGGAAAGAGTTGTCATAGATCCCTCCCAAAGAAACGCAAACGAGCCCCAGGTAGGACAACAGAGATCGACATCCAGACACATCAAAGTTGAGATGTTGAGAGTCACTGAGAAATCTTGAGAGAGTCAGACATATGTGACGGATGATGTCGGAACCATTAGTGGTTGGCTTCTTATAAGAAGCAACGCAGGTGAAAAGACAGAAGGCGACATGTTCATTAGGAAAATGTCAATTAAAACCACACGTCACCAGGATGGCTACAGTCAGGAAGATAGTGCTGACAGGGGTGTGGAAACACTAAAAACTTCATTACTGTTTCCAGGGATAATAAATGATAAAGACACTTTGGAGAACAGCTCTGCAACCTCTTCAAGTGCTAAACACAACCTACCATACAACCCAGCAAGAGACTCCAAAGAGAAATAGAAACGTGTGTCCAAAGACATGTATGAGACGGTTCACAGCACATTGTACTGAACAGCCAATCTGGGAATGATCCAAAGGGCCACGACGGGTGAGTGGACGACAAATGCTGTCCCGCTGCCCAGTGGACTCAAGCCCACTGCTCGGTGCCACGTGGGGACGCTCAGACACATGACAAGTGACAGTCACATACAGACAACTCTAGGCCACGTGATTCCATGCAGATGAAGTATGCAGGAAAGGCACATTTATAGAGACAAAGAGTCTCTATAATGGCGGATGGGGGTTAACAGGCACTAGACACTCCGAGGTGATGGGAATGTCCTGAACTGGGTGGTGGTGACCCAGGCACAGGTCCGCAGTCTGACTAAAACCTCACAGAAAGGTGCACTTAAAGTGGGGAAATTACATGGTATGTCAATTATACCTCAAAGAAACTTTAAAAAAAATGGTTAGTGGTTAGTCTGACAGTAAAAAATTCAGGAATGTCTGGCAACGGGCAAACCATCAGTGAATGAGTGTAAGTTAAAAAAAAAAGGAAGCAGTGGTGTGAATGGCATGGTTCCTTCTCAGTGGGTCGACTTTGCCTGGACCTGAAGGGTAGCCACCGGCACTCACCACGGGACCTGGTTCTGAGATTTCCTGCAATGGGATCATGCTCGTGGATTGACAGCACCAGTGTTATTTTCACGTAAACTGACACTGCTGGAGCCATGGGCAAAGCCTCCGAGACCCCCTCAGGGACCTCCCATTTCGAGTGATGGGCTGGCTTTGCATTTCACGTCTAGCGACGAGGAGCAGGCCGCGACGCCAGCTCAGACTTATCGGAACATCTGGGGGTCCCTCCTCCCCCACAGGCCTTGCTAGGAACCCTCAGCCTGCAAGGTCCCGGCTGGTCTCCACCTGGCCGTTGGCCACAGCTGTGGCTGCAAGAGCAATCTTGCAGAATGAGGGCCAGACACAGAGCCGGCCAGCTTGCCAGCTGCTATAGAGAGGAGGGTCCCCAGGTTGGTGTTTATCTCCTGTGCAACAGGCCCCCCTCCGTGCCTGCAGCATCCCTGGGTGACTCGGGCTTAGGGAAGCAGGTGACTTTGCTGACACCAAATGCTGTTCTCGCTGTGAATAATCGGCCTTTTGTCTCTGACCCACGAGTTACCTGTCTCCTGGGAGCATCCAAGAACCCCGAGCGCCAAATCTGCACGCTTGCAAGTGAGGAAGAATCCCAGACCCTCAGTTCTTGACACAGCTCCTCGCACATGTGACTTACAAGTAGGAAGAAAGCACGTGTAAACGCTAAAGCCTGATCTCCGCTGTAGCACATATATACACACTGTATACAAAATAGATAACTACAGAGCACAGGGAACGCTACTCAGCACTCTGTAATGGCCTATATGGGAAAACAATCTAAAAAACAGTGGATATATCTATATGTATAACTGATTCACTGTGCTGTACGTGGACGCTAACACGACATTGTAAATCAACTATACTCCAATAAAAATTAATTAAAAATAAAATAAAATAAAGAATGTTTATGAGCCAACTCACAGCACTCACTCTCCATCAGGGGGCTTAAGAAACCTAAGAATTGCGTTGCTGTGTGGCCTGGAACAGTGCAGTGTACGGCTAAAAGCAACCCAACGGTTTTGAAATCTCACTGCAAGACTAATTCTGTGGGGATGAGACCCAATTCAGAAATGTATTGGGTTTTCAATTCAGGTTAGTCTAGTACTGATATAAAGGGGCAGAAATGTGGTCGCAGGAGGGCCCGAGGAAGGCGCCCAGCTGTCCAGCAGCTACGGACACACAGGGTGTAGTAGATGAGGGACCGCTGGCTTCAGAGTCCAGCTCAGCCACCCCGCCGGTGGAGCGGCCTTTGCTGTGTCCCTCAGTGTCTCTCTGGTCAGTGTCCTGACCTATGTCAGGGAGTGAGCAGTGACATCTCCGTGGCAGGGTGGTATGGGGACAGCGGGTCGTGTGGGGAGCACTGCGTCTGGCCTGGGTGCCCCCCAGCTTTGAGGGGCCGTGCTCACCTGTGGGAGCTCAGGACCACGGCACAGCCCTCCTGTGCCTCATTCGTCACCGCCTCCCACAGGTGCCACTTCGAGCAGGGATCCATCTCCGAGCTGGGTTCGTCCTGAAGGACAGAAAACACAGGGTGAGGGGCGCAGGGAGAACCCTGCTGCCCTCCAGGCCTGCGAGGGCAGCAGGCCCAGCCCGGAGGGAATGCCTGCCTCAGCTCCAGGCCACGCTCCACACCCAGCAGAGGCCGGGGCCCCTCATGTCAGTCGGGCCCCCCTAGGGATCTGGGGAGTTAGGCCGGCCTGGATGCACCCCAACCTCTATAAAATTCCAGAAGGATCTACCTGAGAAAGATGTAGGAGAGCAGAAGAAGGCTTTGTTGATTTCACATTGTCAAGTAAATTGACATTTCTTGAAACTCGAAGCTTTCTCCTTCAATAAACACTGAAGCACTACTTATCCGAACCACTTTTGAGAGAGATGTTTCTAGGCTGCATGATGCGTTTCTGTGCTTTTGTAGTCAGGAAGTACCGAACACATTTTTCTTAAGAGCTGAGCGTCATCAACTGCCCCAAAGAAAGAAGCAGAAGGAAAGTGGACACAAAATGGCACTGAGCAGGAAAGCAGACACCAGCAAACATGGGTCTTTTCTGCAAATCGCGTGATACGGTGTACAGTTGGTCATAAACCAAGTGGACGGAAGGTGTGACCAGGCGTTGTTCCCTGAGAGAGTTGGGTGCATCGTTCCCACACGGGTGTCGTCGGGGAGATGCTTGTCCGGTCTCAGGGGAGGACGCTATGGGCCCTTCAATGCATGTCCGCCACCAGATGCTCTGAACACTCACTGTCACCACCGTCACTAAAGCTCAATGAGGAGGATTTCATGGGCTGCCTTCAAGGACTCTGATGGACAGACACTGTCATCAGGACCATTTCACACGAGGAGAAAATGTCCACACAACGTGTGAGTCCCCACCCTGGCCGCCACGCCCAGGCCTGGGTGAACAAGGGTGCCGAGAGCAGGGCTGCAGGACGGGAGAAGCTGACTGGCTGCGGTGAGCCGGGGACCCGCTCCAGGACGGAGGCCCCATCCCGACCCAGGAGACATGGGGGTGAGGCTGAGCGGGCAGTTCTGCTGAAGGTAAGGAATGGTCCTGTCGGGAACTCTTCAGTGCAAGCCGGCATTCTTTTGTAAGGAAAACGCGTTTGCAAACTGCAAAATCATGCAAGTGTTAGGTTTTCATTACCCCATTTCAGAAGATGCAATTACACAGTAGTCCTTGATTTCGGACCTTGCGAAAAAGCAAGCTTGGTGCAAGTGAGAGGAAACTTCAGCTCAGATTGCGGAAGACAGTCCACGAACGATGGCGTCATTTTTCCATCACAGGTCTTCTGAATCCCCTTTAACTCCCCGCCCTGAAATGCTGTTTCCACCTAATGAACAAGAGCAGGAAAAGAAAGAATGCGTCTTGTTTCGCATACTTTCCCATGTTCCTCATACCTCTACAAGCGCAAAGCCCTGGGCAGCTCTCTAATGATTAGAATCCAGTCTATGGCTCACAAATGATGACTTCGATTTATTATCTGAATGATACCACTTTTAGCTGTTTTGAAATGCAAAACAACTGGCTCTATTTCTTGACACTTGACCACCTCCAATTCATGTTTCCATCCAGCCAAACTGGATTAATTTCTGTTCCCACGTGGATTATAGACAACCTTGTCCCAAGGCCACTGCCCGTGCTCTGCTCTCCCGCCAGACGCCCTCCCCTCCCCCCTCAGATCCATTCTGCACCCTGACCCCCACCCTCAGGATTCCCCATGGACAGAGTCCCCTACAGCTCCGACCATCATATCTGCAGGTAGGAAAAGACTTAAAGCAACAGACCAGAGGAAAAGTGTGCATCAGTTTTCAGATTACAGGTGAATTCTGGTATTCTTTTAAAATATTGTCTTTAACGTTAAAATTGTATCAAATCTTCAATTGGATAAATAAAAGGGAGTCAAAGAGTCTGTTTTGGTTCTGTAAAATTCCAATGGTATTTTAGATTCTGTTCAGAAAATGTTGATTTAGGGCCAAACGTTTATTAGTTCAGAAGCCCAATGTTGCCAATTTTGAACGTCCTCCCCGGAGGAACTCTGATAGGTCAAGGCGTCTTATTTGCAGACACAGGCATGTCCCTGATACATCAGCTACTCGCCAGTAAGAGAAGGTCGGGTTTCCCCAGCAGGGCCAGGGCTGTGGACAGCTTCCTCTTGGTCCCCCCACTGGTTTGTCCACGTGGGCTTCCAAGTAGAGGAGCCTCACGAGGTCCCCGGCCACCTGAAGGAGAGGGGCTCTCTTTGAAGGCACCCCCATTCGCCGAGGGACCCGCCACCCCGTGACACGTGGCTCTGGGCCTGGAACCCTGCTCCCTCTGGCCCCTCCCCTGCCCACCTTCCCACACTCAGCCCAGCTCCTGAAACATCCCCTCCAGGACACAGGGATGCTGAGAATAAACAGACGGGGCTCTCCTGGATGAAGCTGGGTTTTCTGTACCTGTGAGTCACGGAAGCGACAGCCAGAACACTGAGCTCAGGGCTGGTGCTCAGGGAGCACCCCGGGACAGAAATGTGGTGGCCGGGGTGGGCCAGACACACCTCCACACTGAGGCGAGCAGACACAGGTGAGGCAAACAACGACAGAGGAGAATCTGAGTGGGGATGAAACCCCGAGCGAGGGGGCTTCAGGTGGCAGAGGAGCAAGGGGGAGCCTTCAATATCTCCCAGGAAAGAAAGAGCCCTCTCAGGACACTGCACACCCAGTTCAGTTTACAAAGAAGAGTCAAGGTCCTGCTTACTTGCAACCACTGGGCACCCTCGTAGCAAAACCAGAGGATGGTGACTGCCCATCACCAAACAGAGCCCCTCGGCCCCAGGGACGCCCCGGCCCCCGTACATCGGGCACGGTCACCACTCCTCTTCCTCCTTGGCTGAGCAGCTCACCACTTCTTCATACGTCCTTGGAGTCCCAGATCCTTTCATTCTCTCTCCTTAGAAGAAAAAAGCATGCCCCCCAGCCCCACCTTAGCTGCTCTGCACTCAGTTCTGTCTGCTTCCGGGCTGGGCTGGCTCCTCTGGGAGCTGAGATGAAGAAACGTCCTTGTTTCCATCTATGCATGATTTTAAAATGCTGTCAACTGTTTTATTTAACTCTTGTGACCCTAGAAGTATTAACAAAGATTCGGTTTTCTCAATATCATCATGTAACCAAATCAGTCAAGATTGTATCTTAATTCAAATATAGGAGAAGTGGGAAAAACTCCACAGGACTCTGGCGGTGGGCTAACGAGTATGTATTCTAAACAATCCAATACAGCAGAACTTTAAACCAATGTACACACTTTTTTTGGATAAATGCATAAAAGTTGGGATAGTAATAATAATAGTGATAATTACAACGATGAAATACTAAGGACTTCTAAAAAGATTACGATAATATTTATGCCACCCAATGAAGAACTCCCAACATAAACTGCTCTATCACTTTATTTGTGCAGCCTCAAAATGACCCTGAAAGAATTAAGAGTCTCAAGGACTGGCCTAGCTGTCAAAAAGTATAAGTCAAGGAAGTGCAGATTTCAAGGCCCCAGAGATTCCTGAAGATGGTCTTAAGTCCCCTGATATCTGCTAAAGAACATCATCTTGGGGTCAGTAGTTTGTTCTTCTCGGAAATAGCATCGGTCTCCCAGATTGGTTTATAGGTACTATCCTTACCACGGCTCCATTCAGTTCAATAATTTCAATTAACATCAAGTAAATAAAATGGATTGAAATAAATAAAAAGTTGTTCAAACAAAACAAGTGATTCAAGACAAGCAAATAAAAAAATGTATGAAAGGCACTGCTGTGAGAGCAATGAAGAGAGGTGACGGCTGGCATTGAGAGAATCAGAGAGGTGTAGACTGTGGTCACGTTTCCCTTGGACAGGGTCTTCCAGAGAATAAGACCAGCCCACAGGTGGACATTCACATGGAAGAGGAAGGAAGGCAGCCAGAGAGGCTTCCTGGAAGAGGAGGCTCTCTTCACTGAAAAAGGATGAACCCAGGAAGGTCAGAGCCAGCTGGGAGGCTTACCTTCTGGAAGGCAGTGCCACCTTCCAGGTCAGAGCCAGTTGGGGGGCTCACCTTTCTGGAAGGCAGTGCCACCTTCCATGTCAGGGTCAGCTGGAGGCTCACCTTTCCGGAAGGCAGTGTCACCTTCCAGGTCAGAGTCAGCTGTGGGGCAGCAAGAGTGACACACTGGGAAAATGACATTTTAGGTTAATTTTAGATCCATAGAAATTGTACCAGAAAAGAGTGGAAATATGTGTAAGTATTAGAAAGAAATGTTATTTCACTGCCATCCTCCTAATTCAAAGGCTAGTAATACATAAATAAAAACTGATAAACAGAAAAATGGAACAATCATAAAAGTACAGCCTGTTGCTATAGAAAATGCACTTCAGAATAAGCGAACTTTGGAATAAACCCGCCAAACTATTATTGATTATTTTTATGAAACCAGGAAACATGTGTCATGTTTTTCCAATTTCACAAAAGGCTAAGTGTTACAGCCTGCAAATTCTGGACTGGTTAACCACGCGAAGGAATCCAGAATATACAGGAACAGATATTGGTTTGATCTGCTTTCTGAATGTCATGTTTTCAGAAAAATATCTGAAAATGGTCTAATAAGAAGTGTTTTGTTGCAGTCTTTCCTGCACTCAGGATTCTTGTCAAAATAATGGCAAACGTAATGCCTTAGCAAGTGTGGTTGCAAAATACTATCTAAACGCCAAACTGGCGATAGTTAATGGGCTCTCTCTTGCTATTAGGCGCTTTTTTGCCGTAAATTCTAGAAATTGTACTGCACTTAAGGCAAGAGTTTGGGATTATTCATTTCTATAGCCCCAATCTCTAATCATCTTTGTGATGATTAGACATGATGGGACGTTTATAAATATCACTGGAGTCAAAATAAATTGCCCAGATATTCCCACGTTCATCCACTTGATCCCAAAGCCAAAATTTTTCCACTAGCACACGTGTTGGCCACACTGAAATTCTCCATGAGATTAAAGATCAAAATGAAGTGTTAAGTAGGCATTTAAGGATTTAAGGCAGACACGCCTTTCTTCTGACTCTGACTCTTTCCTCCTGGTCCCCATCTCTCCTGTAATAATTTCTAGCTCCTTCTAACAAAACCGTGAATAGAAGAAAACTTTGGGAGAAAAGTAATATCTGTAGAGAAGATAAGTAGTGAGATGCAGCAGGAGTTTCCCTGATAGGTATTTGTAGGTATTGACAGAGGCGAGATGGCTAAGGGCTGGACCTCGACTCTTCCAGGGAAAACAAAACTACAGAAATTCCAGCCCTCATCCCACTGGCAATGGGATGCTTTTGGTATGACTCTCACCCTGAAATTATCTTACATGCTTCTCTAGCAACCCAGACCATGTTGTTATAATCATTTTGTTATAACTTGATATAAGGTTTGTTTAATCAGGTTAATTGAATTCAGGCTCATATGTGGACACCATCCAACACTATGTAGTGTGGACAGTGGGGAAAAAAATTAGAATGATTCCACCAACCTGCCAAGCCTAAGTTCAAGCTGAATGAAGACAGCGTCCTTTTCTCACCTAAACTGAACTTCTGGAGGGTTGGGGAAGTGAGTGAATGATATGAAGGAGAGACCCGTCAGCTGGGGCCAGATGTGAGTGAGGACCCTGGGTGAGCTCTGAGCAGGGACGCTTGGAGGAGGGCCATCCCGAAGGACCTTCCCCACAGCGAGAGGGGCTTTTTCTCCAGAATCACAGAGGAGACAACGGTGGGTGCTGTGTGGCATTGGGGACAGGTGGCACCTGGGGAAGAGGACTCAGGTGACAGCACACAGGCTGGGAAAGCGTCCTGCCAGATCTGGGAGTCCTGAAACTCAGGGCCAGTCAAAGGAGCCCACACATAATCTCATGCGGTTTCCACTTCTTCAGCCACCGAAGGGGTGCAGAAAACCGGATGGAGCCATTCAGCACACTGGAAGCATCTCCTCACCCAACCAGCCACCTGAGTATGCCGAGGACACCACACGGGAGCCAGGTCATGTGCCCTCAAAACAAACTCCCGCATTCCAGCCAGGGACTTGGGCAGTTTCCTATCCCACCACTTCTGAAATGCGGCCTAAGCATCTTACCCACCTCCTATGGCTGCTGTAAGACAGAACAGTGCCTGGCCCAGCATAAACAAACTACTGTTTTCTGTTATTTTATAATAATCCCTCTCGTCACCCAGTGATAAGCCCGGTGGAACAGATATGCCTGTTCTATATTTAAAATATTTCCAAAATCTACAGGAGAGGGAAATTTGCCATCAAGGGAGCTAACTCCTCTGGAAACACATGTGCTGATGTCCTAGAAGCCTCTGGGCAAGCAATAATCCTGTCTGCAAAATCAGTTGCGGTTTCCTGAAAGAAGTGAAGCCAGTTCCTACCTGGCGACCGTTAAGCCGTTAGACAGCTGAGGATCACGTGCAATTGCCCTGGAGGACAGCAAGCAACAAGCCTTACTGTATTAGCAAGAACACTTTCACAGGGCATGCTTCCCCCGGGACAGAGGAGGAGCAGCTTAGAGCGTCTGCCAAGCATCCACCTCTTTAGTCAGAAACCAGCCGGGAGAGCTGACGGAGACAAACACCCATTAAAGACAGAGCCAGCGAGTAGCCCCAGGTGTCAAGAGCTGCTTAACTGCAGTGAGCAGGGTCCTGTGGGTGGACACCTGTCTTGGCTCTATTGAGGTGGGAGGTGGTGAATGGACCAGGTCCCCTCCGGGGACGTGGAGAGATCTCATTCTGGTTTCACTTAGAGTCACAGAGCAAAAATAAGAAAGGAAGGCTGAGGCACTGCAGAGCAGCACACAGAATGTATTTTCACGGGCTGGTGAAGGACACGGCTGTGGCTTTGTCTCCTAGGAACCCCACGATGCTCATGTCCTGCATAAGCTCACTGAAAATGCATCCCATACGCCCCTTACTTCTGCTCCAAGTTCAGAATCCAGACATGCAAGCAGCACCGTACACTCCCCGCAGTGAGGTAGAGAAGGTAAAACCTCTCCCGCGCACCTGCCAGTCCGAGGCCGCCCAACTGGACCGAGCTGTCAGTCAAGGCTGTCAGCCCCGCCTCGCCGGCTGCGGCTGGAGCCAGACAGAAGGGCAGCTGCCTCCGGTTCTTTCGGTGGTATCTGCCCTCCCCAGCTCCCACAGACGGGGGCTGGCTTTGCGGCTACCCCAGGCCTCCGTCCTCCTGAGGCCGCCACCCCGCATCCCGCCAAAGGAGGCCAGGCACGCGCGCTGGCAGCCCACCCGCCAGGAAGTCATCCTTTCCAACCACCCACCAAGTCCACATGCGCTATGAGCCCTTCTCCGCCGCGCCTGGGCATCCTACTCTATGATGTTTGCTCCTGAATACAAATTAAGAGCCCAGTAAGTGTAAAAGATGCTTCGAGGGGAAACTGTGTAGGAAACAAAATTGCAGACGACGGTATGCTTTCCCTCCTACCCACCACTTCCTCTCTGCGCAGGGACCTATTCTAAATATACAACATACATATGACATAGACGTATTTGACTGTGTTTCCTTCAGCATCATCATACTGTTTCAGGGACATTTATTTGATACCGCAGTTCCGTATCGCAGGATGAGAGCGCTCTGTTGGGACTGGGGGTGTCGCCAAGCATTCTTCTGCGGGTCCCTCTTTCTAGACACCCTCAGAGGCTCTTACTTTGGGGATGCACTGCTTTGGAATCCCACGCAGGCTGCAGTAATAACAAAGGTGTTCCCAGCCGGGCAGGAGCTCATCCAGGGCGTCCTGCTGTGGACAGTAGCCAACGTGGATGCCGACTGTGCCAGCAAGAGCCAGATCCACATCCTCTCTGCCAAGAGAAGCAGCGGCACTGTCCAGAAAATTCGACTTTCCAGACAAACATCACCCATTTCTTAAATCTGGCTTATCAATCAGAAGTTCATTGCAGTTTGTCTAACGCAATTAAATGGGCTCAAGGAATGAGTAGCAGCCCCTGTGTCAGTAGAACAGACTCAGCTCTGAGGCCACGATTGCTCTGGATGTTAAAGAACACGCGTAAGACACTGAGCTTCGTAGCCGTCATCTGGCAACAATGGCTACAGCTCAATACATGGCCATCATGGCTATTATTCCGCAACCAAACACCTCATAAATCATCCAGTATCAGATTTTTTAGAAATTATTTTTATGATAACAATAATATATATCTGTCATTGAACATACAGAAAAATAGGAACCTAAAAAGAAAAATTCATGGTCCCAGCCCTCAGTAACATCTACCATTGACGTTTTAGTGTTAATCCTTTAAGTGCAGTTATGCTCCACGAGTGCAGAGTGAGGATTATACAAAACTGTATGTACTCAAAGGAAAAGAAGTCTTGTTCTATTTCTAATTTTAATATTAATATATACTCATCATGGAAATTTGTAAACTACTCAAATGTGATCACATTTAAACTTTTAAACTATTCAACATCACATTTCACATGAAACATTGACGTGTTTCTATGCATTTTTACACAGATGAAATCATAAAGTCTGTAAAGATTCTTGAGAATGCTCCAGAAAGGAAAATTCCTATTTCCTAAATGGAAAATAGTGTAAAGAAAGACTTGCTGAGAAATCATGACTGCTACAGAGGTTATTATGAGCATCTCTCATTAAAAAAAAAAAGTAAATCTAGTAATTCAATATTTATTAATAGTTTATTGGGTTGGCCAAAAAGTTTGTTAGGATTTTGCATAAGAAAAACTCAGACGAACTTTTTGGCCAACCCAATAATTTTTTTTTAAAGTGATACATGCACCTGGTGACCAGCAAACAATGCAAGAAAACTTGGCTTTGAGTAAAATTTTGTGTAAAATTTTAAGTTCCCCACTTCATTTTGCTTTTTTTCTTAATCTTGTAAACATTATTCCCTCAAACATTTTTCCCCTAAATTTCATAGCGCAAAAGTTTATTTCAGCGTGATTTTTGCTACTCTACAGAAAATATTTCTTTTTCTGTTCAATCACTCTTAGGAATTTTCTTTATCAGTGTATTTAAGAGATATTACAAGAAATATATTGGTGTGCATCTTTTTCAGGAACTTTACTAGAATACTACAATTTTGTGATCTCAATATATAATATCAGGCTTTGTTTTGAACCACTACTTCTGGAAAAATTTCACTCAGTAACCTTATTTTTCTATCCTCTCTTTTATCTTTCATGGCAGTAAAATACGTATAATACAAAATTTACCATTTTAGCCATTTTAAGGTGTAAAATTTAGTGGAGTTTTAAGAGAATTTACGATTCTATGTGATCATCGTTGCTATCTAGTTCTAGAACATTTTCAATGTCCCAAAAGGAAACCCACAACTATACAAAAAAACAACAGAAGCCTTAATTAAACAGTCAGAAGACCAGCAGGGGAAGCTCTCGCGCCCTGTGACAACAGCAGAGCTTGACCAAAGGAGAAAGACTCCGCTTCTCTCCAGGTGAGGACTCAGCCAATGGAAAGCCATGAGCTCTTTATTTACTACACCCACCCACCTTCCCTTCCCTTCCGCTCTATTAAAGTGTTCTCTCCATTTCTGCAGGGGAACTTGCAAATGGATTGCCAGGGCTGCAGACCCCAAACTGCAATTCCCTGATGATTCCCAAAAATCCGCCCTTGCTGGGGAAATAACCAGCAGTCTATTTGTTCTATTTGTTTTAGGTCAACACGCATGTATTAGCCACTCCTCACTTCCCTGTCCCTCCAGCCCCTGGCACCCACTAATCCTCTTTCTGCTTCTGTGTATTTGCCTGTTCTGGCTAATTCACTGTAAACTGAATGATAAAATATCTGGCTTCTTTCACTTAGCATGTTTTCAAGGTTTATCAACAATATAGTACTTTATTATATTTTCTTTTAACGGTAAAAATGCACACTGCATTTTTTTTAAAATCACCACTTTCCATTCTGTAGATGTTAAAACTAAACCCAACAAGGCACAGCTGGCCCCAAATTGACCACAGAACTGGTTCTAACACCTCTATATGTCCCGTACAAGTCCACCATTGTTTTCATTCTTTGACACTTACATACAAAGATAAAAGAACTAGATAAAAAGGAAGAGAGGAGGTAATTATTTTTTTAATTAATAGGCTTAATTTTTAGAGCAGTTTAGGTCTATGGGAATGCTGAACAGAAAGCACAGGAAGTTCCCATACAACCCTCTCCTCTCACCTGGAATCGCCCCTGTTATTATCTTCATTGCTATGGCACATTTGTTAAATCTGGTAAATCAATATTGATACTCTCATTAACTCCACGTTAATGGCCATACTCCACGTTAAGGGTTGTGTGTTGAATATCCTATGGGTTTTGTGAGATTCATGATGTCAGGTACCCACAGTATCACACAGAACAGTTTCACTGCCTACAAGTCCTCTGTGCTCCACCTGGTCACGCCTCCCTCTTCCCCGGCGACCACTGATCTTTTACTGTCTTCATAGTTTTGCCTCTTACAGATCATCATATAGTTGAAATTATAACAGTATGTAGCCTTTACAAATTGGCTTCTTTTTCTTAGTAATATGCATTTAATACTGAACTGTATTCCTACAAATTGTTAGGATAGTACAGTTTATGCTGTGTGTGTTTTACAACAATTTTTTAAAATGATATGCTATGCAAACAGTATCCAAAAGCATGTTGCAGTGGCTATACTAGTATCAGACAAAATAGATTGTAACAAAAAATTTGATACTAGACACACAGGAAAACATTTTATAAAATGTTTATAAGATGTAAAAGCATTGATTCCTTAGGAAAACATAACAACTATTAACATGTTTTCACCTTAGAACAGAGCCCCTTAATACATGAGGAAAAACTAACAGAAGTAAAGAAGAAATAGACAATTTAACAATATCAGTTGGATTATTCAATACATCACATTTAATAATGGATAGAAAAATCAGGCATAAGATCAAGAAGGATACAGAGGACCTGAACAACACTCTAAACCAACTGGACTAAGAGACTTTTCAGAACGCTTTGCCCACGACAGCAGATGTATGTTCCTTTCTGATGTTCATGGAACGTTTTCCAGATAGAACATTTGTGACCTCATGAAACAAACATCAATAAATTTTAAAGAACTGAAATCACAGAATATATGTTTTCTGACTACAATAGAATGAAATTAGAAATCAGTAATAGAAGGAAATTCGGGAGGACCGCAAATATGTAAAAATTAAATAACATGCTCCCCCCCAAAAAACCAATAGGCCAAAGAAAGAACTGAAGGAAAATTCTAAAATACTTTGAGATGATGAAAACAAATGCACAATGTATAAAAATTTATGGGATCCATCTAAAGGAGTGCATATAGGGAAAGATATAGCTGTAATGTATATATTAAAGAAAGTCCATTTCAAAACAATAACCCAACATTCTCCATAAGAAATTAGAAAAATTACAGAAAACTAAATCTAAAACAATCTGAAGAAAAAATAAAATAAAATTACAACAAAAATTAATATAAAAGAAAATAGGAAAAATAAAACAATAGGGAAAATCAATAAAATGAAATGTTGGTTCTTTGAAAACAAAATTAACAAAATCTACAATTCTTTGGCTAGACTGACCAATAAGAAAGGAGAGAAGATTCCAATTACTAAAATCAAAAATGAAAGAGAAGACATTGCTATTCAATATTAAACTTACAGAAATAGAAAGATTTATAAAGGAACACTATAAATATTGCATGGCAAAAAATTAAATCCCTACCTCACCCTATAAATAAAAGTCACAATCAATCAAAGACCTAAATGTAAAAGCCAAAACTATAAAACTCTTAGAAGAAAACATACATGTCTATATCTTCCTAACCTTGGATTAGGCATAGTTTCTAGATACAACACAAAAAGCATAGCATAAGATAGAGTCTATCTAGACTCCACTAAAAAATTTTAGAACGAGTGATCAAATTCAGTAAAGTTACAGGATACAAAATCAGTATACAAAAGTCAGTTATGTTTCCATACAATAACAACAAACTAACAGAAAGAGAAATTAAGAAACCAAGAGCAGGGTGTGGTGGTGGTGGGGTGAATTGGGAGACTGGGATTGACATGTATACACTGATGTGTATAAAATGGATAACTAATAAGAACCAGCTGTAAAAAAAATAAATAAATAAAATTCAAAAAGAAAAAGAAAGAAACCAAATGCATTTACAGTTGCATCAAAAAAATATAATACTGAGGAATAAATTTAACCAAGGAGGTGAAAGATCTGTATAGTATAAGATATACAATGACAACTATAAGATATTGATGAAACAAATTGAAGAAGACACAAATAAATGGAAAAATATTCCATGTTAATAGATCGGAAAAATTAATATTGTTAAAATATCCATAATACCCAAAGGAATCTACAGATTCAATGCAATCCCTATCAAAATACCCATGGCATTTTTCACAGAAATAGAAAAAAATCCTAAAATTTGTAGGGGACCCCAGAAGACCCTGAATAGCCAAAACAATCTTGAGAAAGAAGAACAAAGCTGGAGGCATCACATTTCCTGATTTTAAACTATTTTACAAAGCTATAGTAATCAAAAAAACTGTTGTTTTGGCATAAGAACAGACACATAGACCAATGGAAGAACAGAGAACCCAGAAATAAACCCACCCATATATGGTCAATTAATTTATGACAAAGGAGCCAAAAATATACGATGGGGGAAAGGACAGTCCCCTCAATAAAAGGTGTGTGTTGTAAAAACTATATAGACATGCAAAACTGTATAATATGCAAAAAGAATGACACTGGATCTCTATCTTATACCACATTAAAAAAAAAACAACT